GGGGGGGGGGGGGGGCGGGCTGCGCGCGTGCAGAGGGTCCCAGTGGTGGCCAAATGCCGGGGCCGCTTCGCGCATAAAGGGGTCTCAAGGAAACCGCCTGCCAACGCCAGGGGGGGACGCCGCATTGTAGTGCCACGGACACTGTTGAGGCCCCCACCTGAAACCTGTTGGTGTTTGACGTGCATCGTCGGTCGCCTCCTGGTGCTGCCGCCCCCTTGTGACGCCTCCTGCGTGTGCCGCACCGGTGGCGCAGCTTTGGCATCAGCCGCCTCAAGGCGCGCACATACATAACGACAGCCGGCGGCGGCGCCGGCACTCTGCACTACATGGTGGGGCTCCGCAGGCAGGGGGTGGCCGCGGCATGCACTCAACTGGGACTGCGGCTGCGACTGCGACTGCGACCGCCCTGCATGACCTTGGGGGCTGCCTGTGCACCGGCAGTCATTGCGGACACTCGAGCTCGTTGATTTGCAGTCGGCGGACACATGGGGCTTCTCCGACCTTCACTGTGCAGCGCCCTCCCTTTGCTCTGAACGCCCGTCCGGTGGCGTCACTTCGCAGCAAGTGCAGCCCTGGTCCAAACGCGCATGCGCATTCGGACCAGGGCTGCCGGCTGCGCAGCCGGCAGCACAGGTTGTAAGGTTTCACGGCGCAGAGATCAGGGACCTAAACCCTGGTATCCGGCCCCCTACTTCACCTCTGTTAGGCCCCCGAGTGCTTCTCCTCGATGATGGGGGCCGCCACAGGCGGCGCTCTGGGGCTGGGGGCGCTGCCGCAGGATACGCAGCACATGGTGTCAGAGAAGGCTGACATCTACAGGTGACCTCAGACCTTGGATGATCCGCCGCGAGGGTCGGATTTGTCATGCTTGGACCGGGCTGGCCGGCCCAAGACCTCGCCGGGTCACGTTTGCTGCCTTCGTGCTGGCCGCAGTAGGGTCCGCCGGGGGTTTCGGGCCCTTCCAATGCCCGCATTGTCGTATGTGTGATGCTGAATCATCACTGCCATTCACGAAACGCCGCCGCCGTCGGTCCAGCCTGGGTATCATGATGTGGGAGTGCGTCACCGGCCTGCCGCCCTGGACAGAGGTGCGCCGCCGCCGGCCGCAAACACGAGGGGGCCCGCCTGTGAGCGGTTGTTGAAATGCCGCTGAGCAGCCAGAGCCCTCAGAGTCTGGGGCTTGGACTGTGGGCGTCTGCTCGCCGAGTGTGCCTTCTCAACGATGAGACACGTCACGGCACTACCCACCCTGATATATATACCTTGTCGTCTCTCCCGTCCTGGATGTATGCATGCCACCCCGAACCTGCGCACGCTGCAGTACGGCCATCCCATGGCCATCGCCTACAACGTGGCCAACCGCGGCGCGCGTCCCGCCTGGCCAAAGTGGGTGCACGCAGTGCTGCGCAGGCTGCTGGGCATGAGGGTCCAGTCATGCGTGCTCGGCGGCCGGGGCTGATCAGCCCTGGCGAAGAGCCCTGCGGCTCCAGCATCCATTTGTGATTGCAAGAGCCGCTGGCAGCTCATCACCTCTCATTTGATCGCCATGGTCCAGTGGGTTACTTGCCATCTCCACGCCAGCAGCAAGCACCACAAATTCATGCGCCTGCCTTTCGTTTCCAGGCCCTGCGACGTGCCCCTGGCTGTGCGCCGCCTGGTGGAGTCCTGCTGGGCGCAGAGTCCCAAGGCGCGGCCCAGTGCCGGGGACCTGCTGCAGAAGTTGGTGGTCCTGTTGAAGCAACTGGACTGATGAGCCATGGACGGAGGGGCCGCCAGCGGGCTGGCGGGTTGTAGGGTTGATGCCAGTGGTGTGAAGAGTGATGACAGGGCTGACGGCCCGCTCAGGCTGGCCAACGGTGCTTGTCTGCTGCGGGTTTGAGATTTGTGATGAGCCGACAGACCGGCAATTTCGGTGACGGCTGGCAGGTTTCTAAGGGAGGGATGCGTCCCTCCATATGGAGGGGTGGTTGAGGCGTGTTCCACCATCCGGCGTCGCCCCTGCACAGCAGCAGGAGATGTCTGTTGCCCCTCGTTCAGCGGTGCGCCAGGTGCGTGGGGTGCAGGGCAACCTCACTGTGGACGCCACGGCGTCAACTGCCATGCCAAGCACTGGGGCTCGGGGGTCAACTGAGCTCGGGGCAGGGTGTCCACATCGTTGCTTTGGGAATCTGCGGGACCGCGCTCAGTGTGAGTGCTTTGCCGATAAAAACAAACAAGGTTGACAAGCCTCCATGCCACCAAAATAACTCGCTGCTTTGATGTAGAAAGCAAACTGAATCTGCTGGCCAGAATAGCAGATTATAACTGCTCTTACATTGTTGGGCCCCTCGGCGAGGGCCCCTGGCGCCCCTACCCTCTGTGTGGCAAGTTTTGCAGTATGACGCATTCTCAAACCTGTGTTGCTACCCGTGCCGGCATGTTGATGGATGATATACACATGTGGGTTCGAACCACACGCACTCCACAGTGTCATGTGGCCGGCCCCCGCCGTCTCAAAAAAATATTCCCACATTGCCGGCCGCCGCCCTTGTGCATGATCAACCTGGGACCGAACTTTGGAGCTAGTCGCCCGAAGAAAGCGAGAGGAACCGCTGTAGCCACGCCCATTGATCACAGCGTATGCATGGATATCCACCCGCACAGTTCTTACTGGTTCTCACAAGTGAAATTGAGCGAGTTGGTCGTGAGCTGCAGGTGCGAAGCCCGGCGGTCCATTGCATGGCGACTGGGCAGTGGCAAGTGCCTCAAACACAGGGTGCTGGGCAGGCCTGCTCATAATTCTGTCTGTGCATCAACCACCTCGTCCAGGGGTCAACAGTTGGCCCACTGATTCCCAAGATGAAACCAGATCCCAGTGCGCTGACGGACACCAGCAAATGGCACTCGCTGCTAGCCTGCTGCTAGTGGCCCCAGGAAGACTGCTGTGCATTGCTTGATGCGCCGTGGAATCTGTTTATGTGCTTCACAAGCTGCTCATCTCATATTACGCGCTCTTCGCGCTCGGTGTTTCGAATGATCGGATTCCCGCGCCCTGCCTAGATCACTTGCTCCGGCAAATGGGAATTAGTTACGTGCAAGAAGGACATTAGGCAGGATATTACAGCCGATCTCTTGCTTCGCACCGGCACCAGCCGCGCGCTTGCGCCGCCATGGAGCAGCACCCCGCCAGCGTGCTGCTCGCGCTGGACGCGTCGGCGCTGCTTGGCGCCCACTCTCAGCTGCTGGACGATGACGTGGACCGCGACATGATGAGATGCGCGATGGCGGAGGCCGCGCTTGCGGGCGGCGGCGCTGCGGCGGGGGTGCGGGCCCACATGCTCGACCTGCGGACGGGGGATCTAGGGGCGGCGCTCGCGCACGTCAAGGAGGGTGAGCTGCGCGGCCGGGCGCAACAAGCCGTGCACGCGGGCACCCTGCATCGCACAATTCAAGTCGCCGCAGCGGGTGTGTACATGCGGACGTGCACACATGCACGCAACTGCACACACGCACAGGTACACGCGCAGGCGCACACGAACACGCGCACACACACACACACACACACACACACACACA